AAAAAAACTGTCGTCTAAATTATCATTATTGAAAATCATAGATATCAAACTATAAATATAATATAAATAATAAATATAAGAAAAAAAAGAAAAAATGGTTTACAAACCCACCCGCCAGTTGCAAGGAAAGATTCACTTCATAGAAGAAAAATTAATAGCATTTACAGAAAAAAGAAAAAAGAAAAATAATTGTAACTATAAACACACAAAATACTTATTTATAAACTTAAAAATGAACAAAAATAAACAAAAATAAAAAATTATAAACAACATGGTTCTACTACACAAAAACCCTTGTAGCCACGGCAGATATTTTGTCTGTGGCTAGATGTCAAACAGTACTGCTGTCATACATAAAACACCTCTAGCCATTTAGTTCTGGCATCAATTATTACCAAGTAAATTTTATTGAAAATTGTCCCTAAAAAATCTATATGTATACGAGACCAAGGCTTAGCTGGCCATGGCCACGGGCTTGGAGTGTGCCGTTGGGGCGCGTCCGCCTCGGCCGCACACACGACGCACGCTCGGCACATCGTTTCGATTGCCTCATCGATCCCCGGCCACCACACATAGCTTCGAGCTACCGCCTTCGTTTTGACGATTCCCATGTGGCATTCGTGGAGTTCGTTTAACACCCTACCCCTGCAATTCTCCGGTATGACTACTCTATGACCCCACATGATGCACCCTAGTTCTTCGTATAGTTCCTTTTTTCGGTTAAAATACGGTTGCAATGATTTGACCTCATTATCGGTGGGCCAATCTTCTCTTAAGTATAGTATAATTCTACCTAAAATCGGATCGCGCTGGGTTTGTTTTTTAATTTCATTATAATCCAGTAACATTTCACTTTGAGCGAAATGTAAATACGTTTGTTCAGGTAATTCTAAACATTCGTTCTTTGTGGATTGAACCGATACCGGTAGACGAGATAAGCCGTCCGCACAGTTCTGTTTACTACTAACGTACTCTATGTTATAAGAGTAAGCGGATACCGTAATCGCCCAACGCTGCAATCGGCTCGCAGCCATTAAAGGAATGCCATGTTTTGGGCCAAAAATACTGACAAGCGGCTTGTGATCAGTACGTAAGGTGAACCGTCGACCATACAGGTATTGATGCAATTTTTTTAAGCAAAAAACAATTGCTAAAGCCTCGCGATCAATTTGTGAATAATGTTTCTCCGCGTCGCTGAGAGCTCTCGACACATAGACCACCGGCCGCTCGCTTCCCGCTGCGCCGGCGCACGGCTGAGTGAGCACGCCTCCTATACCTCGAGCGCTAGCGTCACACGTCAGTATTAACGGTTTGTTTTGATCGTAATGCAATAATACTTCAGCACTGGTTAAGATTTTTTTTAATTTTTTTAAAAGAATCCTCGCAACTTCTGTCCCAGTCCCAAGTAACCCCTTTTTTTAATAAGCGGTAAAGTGGGGCTAAGGTAGTACTTAAATTTTTAATGAACTTAGCGTAAAAATTGACTAATCCTAAAAATGATCTTAAGTCCGAAACGTCCTTGGGGCGCGGAATTTTTACTATAGCAGCTACCTTGTCAGGATCAACTTTAATGCCATCTTTTGAAATAATATACCCTAAATACTTGACCTCGTCCACCATGAATAAACATTTGTCTTTCCTCAGCTTCATTCCGTTTTTATGTAATCTACTAAGCACCTTCTCCAATATTTGTAAATGCTCTCTTTCATTAGAAGAACCTATTATTATATCGTCTAAAAATACTTCTACCTTTTCGATATCGTGAAAAAGATTTGACATTATACGCTGGAAAATTCCTGGACTTGATGACAACCCATATACTAGCCTGTTATACGTAAATAAGCCCCTATGTGTATTTATAACGGTAAGGTTTTTAGAGTTATCTAGTTCGATCTGATTGTAGGCTTGTGACAGATCGATTTTAGAGAATATTCTAGCGCCATTCATACCTACTAACAAATCATTAATCCTAGGCAAGGGAAATCTATCGACCAGCAATACCGGGTTGAGCGTCACTTTATAGTCAGCACAAATTCGGAGCCCACCATCCGCCTTACGTACCGGCACCAGAGGTGTAGCCCAGTCAGAGCTCTCCACGGGTTCAATAACCCCCTCCCGAAGCATCGCATCCAGCTCAGCATCCACGCGGTCCTTGAGCGCGTAGGGCAAAGGTCGTGCGCGGCAGAACACCGGTGTCGCCCCTTCCCGGACTCGCAGCGTCGCCTTGCCGCCCGCGAACCGCCCCAAGCCGCCGGAAAACAACTTGTTATATCTGTCGAATAATAATGACAAATTATTGTTATTAAAATGGTCATCCAGCACCATGCTGTGGAATGTCGAATTTTAATTTGCAGTTCTGACAGCCACTGTCTACCCAACAATGAAGTCGTGCCCCCATCTATTACAAACAGTTCTAAGTGCTTTGTTATATTTCCATATCTAACTTCGGGCTTGATGATGCCTAAAGGTTTGATTCGACTTCCATCATAAAATTTTAGAACCAGATCGAACTTGTCCATAGGTCTAGTGTAAAAATATTTATTATAAGTCGCTTTACTTATACAAGACACTGCCGACCCGGTATCAATTTCCATATTAAGTTTAAATCCGTCTAATAATAATGTTAGGCTCACCGGTTTATAGCTATTTAAACATAGATGGTGTAGATCCTCCTGTAACTCCGTTTGACTTTCCACGGATGGTGGCTCGTCGTCCGCTGACGGTGTCTCGCACTCTGCCGCCTCCACATGGTACATGTGGCGTCGGGAGCCCGCATTTCCCGTGTACTCCCCTCGTTTGGGACATACCCGGCGTAGATGACCGCTCTGTTTGCATTTACCACACACGAATTTCTTATAGCGGCAATCATCACTTCGGTGGTACCTCGACCCGCACGCTCTGCAATATAGCGCATTGCCGCCGCCATGTTCTCGACCTTTAAAAGCCCTCGGTGCGCTGTCCTGCTCCCGCGTTCGAGCGCGGCTTGTCGATGACGTCACCGCATGCAAGGCGCTGTCCGCGCCGCTACCGCCGAGCCCGTCGCCGCCGCCCGCCTGCTCCACCGCGGCCGAATCCCGCTCCGCCGCCTCTAAAGCGCAAGCTATTTTCACGGCTAAGGAATATTTCAGATTATCTTCTGCGAATAATCGTTGACGGATGACATCACTTCTTAGCCCACACACCAATTGATCCCATAAATTGTCCTCTAGAGTTGAATGAAACTCGCAGTATTTCGACAATTTCTTAAGTTCGGTTATATACTGCGGAATCGTTTCTCCGTTCAACTGTCTTCTTTGTCGAAAACGATATCGCTCCGCCATGAACGAGGGTTTCGGTTGAAGATGTTCCCGAAGTATTTTTACCACTTCTTGATACGATTTATCTCCCGGTTTAATCGGACTTGTTAAATTACTTAATAATTCGTACGCTTCGTCTCCCATACCGGCGATTAATGTCGGCAACCACATTTCGTTTTTCACTGCATTTACCGTAAAGTACATTTCTAGTCTCTCCACGTATAAAGTCCAGTTTCCTGTTTTGACGTTGAATTCACTCACTTTGCCGATTGACATTATATTTAATATATGCGTCCACGTAATTTACCGAAAAATAAAAACAACTTAATCCTCGTCGCCACTGTAGTGTATTTCGTAAATAAGACACGGGTAAGCGGATTGACGGTTTATTCGTGACTGTTCGACGAGCCTTTTACAATTAATCACTTATGTATTTAATGTACCCTCATTACAATGTTCTGTGCAATTTTCACAATGTTTGTGATATCTTCATCTAGGTCCCCATTTTTTTCCAAGTACACATTAATTAATCCTATACTACGGTTTCCTACTTTAATTATAAAGCTTACTATATTTTCACTTATGTATTCTGGATTTTCTATAATTAAGTACGTGGGATCAACAATGATGACTACCGATTTAACCGGTTTATCAATTATGTTAGTCACTGTATAACGCGGCGATTACAAGTAACATGCCCTTTTGAACCGATATATGGTTCTTGCAGTAAAAGAAGTGTAATTCTGCCATTATGCCGCCATTCCTCGTCCAAGATTAACTTGCACGATTTTTACAGTTTGCGTGTCTTCTGGCATATTATTTATAACGTTTGTGCTCATCTGTGTTTGTAAGATGTCATTTGTCTGAAATACTTTAACAGTATGCAACTAAGGATCTCGCTATTCGGTCCCATTTTTGCCATACCAAGCATTCAGCACTGTATGCTGCGTGACTGTGGTCCCCCTTGACTTTATTTTTAATGCAATTCGCACATGAAGGTGTAGGCCCATGCATCTATAGCACTGGACTATAGGTGACTGGTCTATAGCTGGGACTATTTGGTAGCCCACATGCACCTTTTGGTCTTTAAGGGCCTTCCAAACGCAAGGGCTTACTTCGATAACTATGTTATTAACTGCATCTGTGCGGCCTTTTATTCATCTTAGGACCTTAATCTTAATATCATCTTTTTCTATATCTTTGAATAGCTTCACATTCTGCTTTACGAGTGCTTCCTCTATTTTTTTATTATTGAGATCGTTCGATATTCCTATTAACTTTATAAGTGGGTTTTTAGTAGATGATTTTGACACTGTGAGCTTTTTATCAGAATGTTTGATCGCACTTTGTAACTTACTACGGTCCTCTTCTGTATTGCACGTAATGATCACCTTTTGATTTCTGACTCTTCTGACATTATTTACTCCCACTCCTAGTTGCACCACGTCAATATTGTTTTTAATGGTACTGACAACATCTTCACTTGTGTGCCTAGGGTCGGAGGATTCAATAAGAAGAGCAAATCGAGGTTTGATGAGAGCTTCGGCATACGATCTTGTTGGACCGTTAATTTGCTGCTCTTTGGTTGCATAATTATATTTTTTGTGGTTGTTGTTCTCCTTAAGTGAATTGCAGTTGCATACTTGTAGGTTGTCAAGTTTTTCTCTAATCTCTGCTACTGCTAGCTCGGTACCTACGCCGGAGTTATTTTGAAATGCCCACTAACTTGCTCCATGTTTCTTGAGTTCTTTTATTTAATCCGTTAATTTTCCTATCTTTTGCAAGATGGGCTCTATGGCGACTGTGAATTTGTCTGTGGATATCTCCTGTCGGGATGTTCTGTATTTGTGCTTGTAATTCCTGCACAATATTTTTCATGTCACATATATCACTAACAATGGAGTCTACTCGAGTCGTCGACTCAATGGACTGAGTGATACATTTCACATCAATTTTCTGGTCTTCCAAACTGTTTTTGAGGTGTTCAACTTCGAGACCGACCAACTTCGAGGATTTTATGTACTCGAACGTATCCCTGTTCTGGTTCACTATCATCGTAACATCTTCTGCAGGAAATATTTGCCGGTCATCAGAGGGACAGTTAGAAGAGTCTTTTATCACTCTGATAAAATTTTCGTTTATTTCCTGCCGTATCTGATAAATTGTCTTAATAGGATCATCCATCTCATAATTAAGCCATCCCCTTATAGCTTCTGCGGATTTTTGCGTGTCTTTTAAAAGTTCTTGGATGTCTTTGAGCTTTTGCATACAGGAGGAATGAATTTCTGCGAGTTGTTTGGTGTGTGCTCTGTCAACTCTAACCAGCTCTTTTGCTGCTCGACTGCGTTCTTGCTCTAATGCGAGCCGTCGGGAGCGTGGGTCTGAGAGTGAGAGCACTGTTTCATATAGCCCTTGAAGGCAATCATGTACCTCCTGCTTGCACTCCCGCTTCATGTTCCCCGCTTTCTTCAATACCTCTTTCCCTGAGAGCAAACATTCGTTAGCCCGCTGTGTTGCAAGATCCATGGAAATGCCAGCGCGCTTATATGAGGGGGGTAAAATACTAGATCTCTTACTGTTATCACTGATGATGCTGTCAACATCTGACCATTCATCGTCAGTGCGTTGTACACGCTTACAAATTCCCAGCAATTCCAATTCTGCCTCCATGTCTCTTGCAACAGAGCTGTTTTGTTCCGAGGCACTGTCGTATTCCTGTGGATCGTTTGAAGATACGTTCTCTTGCTCTATTGGTTCCTTTGTAATGGCTATAGTATGCGAGTCTGGTCGATTACTACATCCAGGTTCTCCTAACATAGCCCTTTGAGAGTCCTCCATATCCTCAGTTGGTTTTTGCGTGGAGGCTGCGTTCTGTAAAAGCACTTTTTTCCGCAAAGTTGGTGCAGATACTGGGCTTATGACTCTACCAGATCTAGAGGACTTGGATTTTGCCACTTCAGTACACGTCTTGCCCGAATTAGATGACATTTCCTTTTTTTTTGCAATCGAATTATTTAAAGTAAACTATTGTGATATATAGAGCAGGACTCTTTAATATCTATTCTGAATTCACGGCTTGATACAAGCTCCCGCTTCAAAGACTCTATGTGTCGACTCTATATAGAGTCAAAGAGTAAAAAGTATACTTAACTGTCAGTTTAGTCAATAGCGTAATATGTCCTGTTGTTTAATAGATGGAATTAAACCAAAAACCGTGTTTAGGCCGCATAATTTGCATTTGTTACACTTGCCCCACTGTCGCACTTACCTCGGGTGACTCTCCCCAAGTGTATATTAGTACTCATATTTTAAATAAAATATACACACAAATACAACTTTTTCAAAGAGAATACAAACTACACAAAATTAAACTTAGGTGAAACAACAATATTGAATTATTAACACAGCAAACAAATTTCGGTAAAAAATGTATAATGTGTGACGGTTCCCAAATATATAATTACTTAAAGATATTAGAGACTCAAAATCAATGCACACATTTTTAAACGTGGAAGAGCCATGCTGCAGCCATAATATGGTTGTAGCACGAATGTGCGTGAACGTGGTCCTGTGGACCACGCTCTCACAGAATACCAGCGTAAAATAGCAGCTTAACACTGCTGTGTTTCGTATGGTGAATGTAGAGATCCGGAGACCCTTTTTACTGGAAACGAGGTGTTCTATCTCAGTCCTCAGGGATGACACGCATCTGCATTTCGATTCTTAATCGAGGATAAATGGAGATGTCTATGGACCACAGCATCCACTTACCATCAGGTGGACTGTGTGCTCGTTTATCACCCTTTTCTTTATCACAAAGAGACTACTTAAGTATCATCTATAGAAAGAGTAAACAAAGACTTATCTAATATAAATACTTTCATGTTCAATAAGTAGCTTAAATAAACACATAATAACTTAGTTCATACCTACTTATACACCAAAACAACGAACTATTCAACTTATTTCGAATTAATATATAATATAAATATTACAACAATGCACTGAAGGTATGAATTTAGGTATGACACCACATTTTTCTAAACTATCTAATGTAATCAACTATATCACTATTTATTCCATTGTGCGCCTGCTGCGTCCAGCCTTTCCACAAGTCAGACATTGAACAAGCTAATTTTGCTGTACTTTTAAAATATTATTTCCAGTAGTTTTTTATAGACAAGCTGTTTAAAATTGTCCTCAGGGGTTTGGACATTCCGCACGTGGATGTGGTCATAAACTTGGACATACCACTACACAGCAAGGACTACATCCACCGAGTGGGACGCACCGCTCGAGCTGGCCGGGCCGGGAAAGCTATAACTTTTGTCTCACAGGTAAGTTATCTGGATTACGGATATTTTTTTATTTTTATATTTAATAACATTTTTATAAAACAATTGTTTCGTATAGCTTTGGATAAGCAGAACACTGCTGTATTTCTATTTAAAATGTAATCAGTCGGTATAATCATAACTTGTAGGGAATTTATTGTTCTTAGTTCAAGGTTTTTACATAAACAATTAGAAATTGATGAACCAGGAGACCTGTAGAATTACTTGCTCATGGATATAGAGTCGTATAAACTCTTCCCAATATATTTTACTATCATTAAAACTTATTGTAAATTAAAAATCTCCAAAGATCGTTAAATAACATAGAGAATATAACCACTAGAGAGCGTATAGGCAGATTTCTTCTAAGCATACGACTCACTACTGCGGGCCGGGGGACGAGGAAGAACGCGAGGCTGCAAATGGTCAAGTTACGTTGTTATGGCTATCTTTAGGGTTGCTCTTCTTAATAAAGGAAAATATTCGTTATCGATAAAATGGATTTTATCATTATGAAAAATACTCAATTAAAATTATAGAAATAATATTTAATCAAAATCAATCGGTTACAACGAAAACATTTATTTATTGTATTATTATTGATTTTTAAAATGAATTAATTTGTTATATTTATTTCGAATTAAAGTTTAAGGGTCCTGATTGTTCTTTGTAAAAAAATTTAAACAAGCGTCTACATATTTGTAAATTATGCATCTTGCTAATTAAATTAAATGATTTGTTGATTCTATTTCAAATTGATGAAAATGAATATACGGGAATCAATAATACCTAATCAGAGATTTTAAAAACCGTTCTCATAAAATAATTGGTACTATATTTCGAAGACAGCACTTTTGAACCACTCTCACTGTTCGCTCTCTTATTAAAAATTTTACAACGACGACAAATATATATTACTGTAGTGGATCCGTACAATAACTTGTTTTTAGTGTCCTTTTGAAATTGTAAGCCGTTCTGATTTGGTACACCAATCTAACTAATTTAACTAGGTAACTATAAATTTTAACTAAGAAAAAATACTGACAAACTGAGAACCTCCTCTTTTTTCTGGAGACGGTTAAAGGTAGATAAGTATTTTTTCACAGTGTGTGAATTGAATAATCTTTTTATTAATTTTTATTTTATTATTTTCGATATCGACTTTGAGCTATTAAAGGTAACAGTAAGTCCTAATGTTTACGATAAACATACAAAGGGAAAGAAAGGGATAGAAGCATTAGAATTGTCTAATAATAGAACGAGACTTTTCCAAAAGACATCAACGCGCGACTCAACCATGTCGTTATTTCACCGGCCACCGTTTTAGATAGACCCCTACAATGGCTCATAATTTGAATAAATCAACAATAATTTTCGTATTTTTTACTTAGCAATGAAAACTTACTACATTCTTTTTGGACATCTGTCCTGGAATGTTTTCCACACCACTTCAACGCGCATTTTGATGCATTATAATTGCATAAAAGTTATAAAAATTTGCATTAATTTAGCGTGCACACAGCTCTAACACTTGGACAATACTAAAATGGTTAATAGTACCATAGCCGATGCATAGGCGACAAAATACTAATAGTTTTCGAGCGTTGGGGCATTGTATGCGCAGTCAAGTGGTTATTATAGTCTTTGTTAAATAATAACAAAAAGCTGTCTGCACTGGTTGCTGTCGCTCTTGTGTCTGAGAACACACAGCCCGCAGTTAAGGTGGATACCTCGAAAATTTGGTTGTTGTTCTATTTAACATATTTTTTTAAGTTTTATAGATTACAAACCAAAATTTTGGTGCATGATTTCTGACTATATGATCTTGGATTGCATAAAAGGAAAAAACGATATCATGTAATTTTCTCGATAGAAAAAAATTGCAAAGTAGGCGCTAATTATTTACATTTCTCGATGACACTACATTATATATTCTTACGAATAATTTCATGGAATAATTTTTAAGGCATAGTAAATAATCATATCTAAGTTCTCATAAACCAGTTTTTTAATCCATAAAGAAGTTTTGTTAAAATAAATAAAAATGTTGTTTGGCGCTTACTTAGTTTTTTCCGAGCGCTTGCTCGGTATGGCTATCTCATAATTTACGTACTATGAAGTCATTGCATCACTTTCATTTTGATACTCCCGCAGTCGTCCGTTAGCTTCACCGAAAAAGGAATAAGCCACGCCCCCAAAACTTCGATTCATTTTCAAGGTATCCTCTTAACATTCACGTTCGGGCGTGTCTGTGCCCGCGCACACAGAATGAGAGCGCGCGGACGTTCAACAGGCCAGTCTGCCAGACCGACTGCGACGCTCCTGCACTATCAAACTTTGCACAGAGCTACAGTAGCGAAGTCCGGCGGGCGTGTCTGTGCCCGCGCACACAGAATGAGAGCGCGCGGACGTTCAACAGGCCAGTCTGCCAGACCGACTGCGACGCTCCTGCACTATCAAACTTTGCACAGAGCTACAGTAGCGAAGTCCGGCGGGCGTGTCTGTGCCCGCGCGCACAGAATGAGAGCGCGCGGACGTTCAACAGGCCAGTCTGCCAGACCGACTGCGACGCTCCTGCACTATCAAACTTTGCACAGAGCTACAGTAGCGAAGTCCGGCGGGCGTGTCTGTGCCCGCGCGGACAGAATGAGAGCGCGCGGACGTTCAACAGGCCAGTCTGCCAGACCGACTGCGACGCTCCTGCACTATCAAACTTTGACA